ATTTATGATATATATCGCTAAATAACAAATTAATCGATGTTTAGCGTTTAAATTTAATTGATATAAAACGATTAAGCATTATATATCGTTATAAATCTACTTGAAAAAATTCGTGATGGAAGACCCCAAGAAGTTATAGCGCTAGATAGTTCTGTAGTTTATTGAAAATCTAAGTGATCTTCAGATTTTATTAAATTCTAGAAATCTTGTATTTCTATTTTTAGATTTCATCATTTTTTAGTTTTTTGCAATTTACAGATTTTTTTATTATATAATTTGATTTAATAAATCTTTTAGCCAAAAATATATCTATTAGAAAATCAAAAAAAATCAATTTTCAAAAAATTGTAAAAAAGAGCTATTTTAATATGTAATGCCCTATATAGTTTAAAAATCTTTATATAATATATTTATAATTACAAATAATAAAGTTTCTACTTTGGCATTACAAAAAAAAAATAAAAAAAATAAAGTCCAAAATATAAATATAGTTTTAACAAGGCTAGCAACTAGTGTTTATTTTTTACATATACAACACATTAATCAAAATTTTAAATAAAGCAATTTTATTGGATCTGCATATATGTGCACACTTTTGTATATATGAAAAATAAACACTGCTGGTAACTACTATTTAAGAATTTAATAGAAAATCTTTTAGCAAGTTGAAAGCCAAAAAGAAAGAAAAAAGTTGCTGCAGCAGGTTGTATCTAAGCATCTTAGAGTAGCCAAATAAGCTTTATTGAAAATAAGAGAGAGTTATAGGCAGTACTTTGTTGTATAATAAAGGCAGAATCGCCAAAAAAATAAAAAATAAAAAATAAAATAGGTATCATTTTAGAATATTACTAACCATCACCAGGGCGCTTATATTATACATAAAAAAAAAATTCTAAATCTGCACCCTAACTCTAAAATTATCTAGAGGTGGTGACAATCACCACTGGCTATTTGTAGTAAAACTCATAGTTTGATACTAATAATATTATACAGTATCTTGAATAAGCACCCACATTGAACATAGTAGCGGGTGCTTATTCACAATAGGATCAGCACTATCTAAAATTTTATCAAAATTTTATCTCACATGATATTCCGCGAATCAAACTATGGTAATAAATACAATTAAGTCACGGAGTTCTTATTATGATCGACAATTTTGTTATATGGGGTGCTTATTCGCGATGGTTGCTTATTTACGATAGGATACGGTAAATAATAATTAAAAATTTTTAAAGTGATATTATATTTTTACATTTAAATATATTATAACTTTAAGAGAATTTCTATTTGTGTACACGGGCATACAGAAAGCCAACCAATATCTCAAAATTTTTTATCATGAACCATTTTTTTGGCTTCTAACAAAAAAAATTCCTTGCGAGATTTTGGATATACTGTACCTCGCTCCAATCCCAAGCCAACCCTTACCCTAACTATAAGCAAGGGTTTATTTCGGTTGTAAAAATTGGTTTGATTGGCTTGTTACACAAATTTGTAAATTAACTGTTAATACCCGTGTATGTACGTACACTCCGTGTAAAATAATAAATTTTCTAACTTTAATATCGTAATAGTAAATTTTATGTATGTTTGAACAAAAAATATGATTGTTAGTTGCAAACTTTTATAATTTTTAATTGAGGCCATGCAAAATTAATTAGTTTTGGCCGGGTCAAGTTTTAGAAACGTCTAACGCTAAATATTTTTATTACGTATATTAAGATACCTGTTAAAATGTTTTTTGTTATTCGCTTTGTTACACGAGATCTTGTAATTTTATTGGCTCCGAGCCCGATTAGAAGTTAATAAATTACCTCATATACATTTCTATGTAACATGTGATTTTGTTTCGGAGTCGTTTGAATTTCAGTAGCCAAAATAATAATGTAAATTCCGAACTATCGGGTATGATCTAAGCATTTTTAGATGTTCGATTTTCATAATAGTACGTACGTACGCACCCATCTCTACATAACAATTAACTGACCAATTGGCAGTCAGTTATTAAACGATATAAAATCACGCCCTTTATCTAAGAGGCTGACTGTTTCTTTACTTTTCCAAGTTTTAAAAGTTTAGTATCGCACCACTTCATGTTTTAACCAAGGATTAATTTTTATCACTCATTCAGTGCTTGTATATAGTAGTGCGTGGAGAAAGTTATGTCCACTGTGTCACCTTCTTCTGTAAGCTTTTTTTAACCTTTGATAATTTTTTTAACGTTTTATCTTTTTTATTCCTTGTAAAAACTTTTTTTTACTAAAAATTTCACATTAAAATATTTCATATTTATTCTATTCACTCGAGTTCTTTTAGAACAGTGCAAAAAAACCTTGGTTTTGCATAAGTGAGCGTTTACGCCGAGAACTATTTCCAAACTCTGAAGAGGGTGTCATATTACAAGAAATTGAGCAAAGCGAAAGATATAATAATATTGAAAAGCAGACACGGTAAACTTAGTATTTGATATTCATTATCGTTCTGATCTTTCGGAAGACGCTCCGCACTTGGTCACGTTTGTGTATATGCTTTTTACATTGCACTTATTTTGTATGCATTGCACACTCTTTTTAAAAAAAAAAAAGTCAACAAGAAAATAACACAACTGTTCTAAAATTTCTATTCACCAATAAAGAATAAAAAAATTAAAAGAAATGAAACAACAGAACAAAAAATTACATAAAAAACAAAATAGAGATAGAGAGAACACTTCCGAAGAAAAAATAATTAAAATGGAGGACGTTAACGCCGGAAAATATGAATTAACTTTGGAAGAAGATGAATTTCTGGATGATGAAACGGTCACTTTAACGCCTAAAGAAGAGCCACGAATACAAAAGTTATCTGAAACGACGGAAGAAAGCGATAATACAGAAGTGAAACTAGAAGAAGAGGAACAAGAAGTTGACGTAGAATCAGCAGAAAGTTCACCAGCGCCTAAAGAAAAGGGAGAGTTGGAACAAATTAAAATCGAAGATTGTGATACTGAAGACGATGAAGAGGAAGAAGGTAAGTATTTTAACATTAAGCATGTACAAAAATATTTAAACATTATTTTTTTAACATGATAGAGTAGTAGGTATTCAACGCCGGTCACTTCCACGTCGAGCGACAAAGAATATTTTTTATAATAGGCCAAAAGAAATACCAACCCGAAGGTCATCAACTCGACAGGCGAAAGAGGAATTTAAAGGACGAGATATTGTTTTTGTCGATCCATTAGATTTAAAAGCGAAATTTTGGTGGCCAGCAATGATAGTTCCAAATGATGAGATTGACGAAACAATGGATGTTGATGGCAAACTTGAAATTCATTTACTTGCACGAAAATTTCTTGTTAGGTATTTTGAAGATATGACTTATTCAGTAGTTGAAGCTAAAGGGTTACGTCATTTTAGGAAAGATGGAGAACCTTATCAATCATTTGTAAAAGTAGAAGGATTTTCTGTTCATATTGGAGTTCGAAGAGCATTGAAATGCATTCAAAAAGGAGAACCAATAAAAGCGTTTAGATGGGATTATTGGAAACGACCAGCCTCAATTGAAAGTGGAGAACATAATTCATCACAAACTACTATAAGAAGGCATAAAGCTAATGCAACTTCACCGTCGAGAAGAATAGAAGTTCCAATAAATATGTTTGGTGAACATTCTACTATAGCATCAGAAGGGAACGTACAGAATAAAGGTAGAACAACTAAAAGAAGTTCGTTAACAAATCGTCATTCATCACAATCAACAGAAGAAAATACATCCGGATCTCCAGCATCGGGAATGGATATAGATTCCGAAATAGTTAGTCCTACCAGGCGAAATTCATCATTATCTAATGGTCGGAATTCACGGGGTATTACTTCACGTAAGAATTCAATTGTAAAAAACTCCGATGAAGATGAATCACCGAATAAAAAAATACCGAAACGAAGACGTAGTACGGCTAGTGAAACATCTGATGGTAAGCGACGTCGTAATATGGTAAATGAAAATACAGATAAATATGAAGAGAAATCAGTTCGTAGTACTTCTAGTGATAAATCTGATGGTAAACGTCGTCGTAGTGTTGGAAGTGATAAATCGGATAGATCCGACAGATCTTACCAAGCAAATAATAATTGTCGAACAAATCGGACACCAATTCGAAAAAATAATAGTTCATCTCTGACAGAATCAATGGATCAAGACAACTCTACTACAGTTACATCACCAATTTCTCTTGTCGGATCTACGATTGTTGATGAACCATCAGAGATTGAGAATGGAGCCATACCTTCAGTAAATAGCCCAAATGAGCAATCCGAAGAACCAATAGAAATAATGGAGGAAGAATCTTCTTTTACCTTAAATAAACAAGAAGAACTCTCAATATCCGAATTAAGCGATGAAGCGCGAGATAATATTGCACGATTTAATTTCGAGAATCCAGTATTAGATAAGGAAGCAAAAGCGAACTTATTCGTAGAAGGTATAAAAGAATTGAAAGAACTCTGGCGAGATTATCGAGAATCAAAACGACAAATGAAAAAAATTGAAACAGAATTGCGTCTTAAAAAGTTAACAGAGTTAAGGGGTACAAATGCTCTTATTGATGAAGATGAAATTGGCAATGAAAGTGATGTGGATTATAGTGATTATGAAAATCGAGTTGAAAATGGACATGACCAAGAGATAGATGATGAAGATGAAAATGAAGATGAAGTAGATGAAGACGAGGATGAGTATGTTGTAGAGGATGAAGATCAAGAAGTAGGATTAGAAGAGACTCAAGTGGTCACAAGAAGTATTACACGAATGTCAAATGGTAAACGATCCAGTTCGTTGTATTCAATGTGATACTTTAACGGATATCTCTATTAATTAAGGTATAATCAAAAAATTGAAAATGAAAATCTTAAAATGACAATTTACGCAGATAATAAAATCTACAAAGATAAAAGTAATATTATAAAATCGCCCGATCATCGTTGTAATTTATATTAAGCGAAATTATTGATCAAATAAAAGGATTATTTTATTCAAAAACCTAAAACTTTAGCTTTCTTTTTTTATGTACATACTTGTATATTGATAGGATTAATTTTTACTATTAAATATTTTTTTATGCTACGTATTAATATTAGAAACCAAAAGCACTATATAGCATGTTAGTTCGCTATAAAATAACCCTATACTCAATAAAAGCAAATAACTATAGAATAAATAAATAATTAATTAAAATAAAGTTTAATACTTATTATTGAATAAATCACAAATAATAATAATAATAATAATAATAATAATAATAATAATATAATAATAATCTTAATATAATAATAATAATAATAATAATAATAATAATAATAATAATATATATAATAAATATAATTAGTAGCTCTCTTGCTTTGAATATTATAAATTGAGAACCAGAAATAATCAAGGTTAATAATGATATTTATAATGCAATACTCTTAAATACCAGATACGTAATATGGATATATACGTACGTACATATGTACAGCACTACTTGTTATAATATTTATGAAAGAATACTTTTTGTCAGCTGGAAATAGAAATTTCATTTTATGCAAACAAGGTTTTATTATAAATGGTATATTTCATTGTTATTCGTGTAACTATCAAAAATAAAATGCAAAACTCATAGACCTTCACTAAATATGAGAGACTTCAGACCTGGTGCGTATTCACAATAGTGAAAACGATAGATTATATCTATGCTTGCTTAAGGACGCTAACGATTTTAATAACTCAAAAATTTTATAATGATATCAAGGCTTGGGGATTATGATATACGTGTTTGAATTTAATATAATTATTATCATTAGAGATCATGTGAATGATTACTTAGCACGCGTTTTAGGTTTGATACTGTTTTGAAAAAAATTGATTGTACGTACTTATTTAATCATTTACGTCCTGAATCTATAAAGACAAACGATATTACAAATAATAGGATTTTTGATCAAACAATATAGGTAATGTCGTATACTATAGAAATTATTCTTTTAAGACTTCTACTATTGTCTCTGCTAAAATTAAGCGAACGATTGATGCGCACATATGTATGTGCTGTACATATCTATCTATTTTTGACATTATACGTGATTAATAATATATGGAAGTTCAATATAAAGAACGATTATTACATAAGTAAGTGTATACAGCCTTATTTTGAGCATTACTATCGCTATCGCTATAGTTTTTAGAGCTCTAATTAGAAAAAATTAAGAGTTCCGAAAGTCTTGTTTGTCCTGATATTCTGCCGGATAACTACAACAATTTCCTGTTATTTTAGTTATTATTGTAATTCAAACCATTATTGAAATGTGTGTATAGTAGTACTATGATCCAATATTTTTGCTAAATTTTTTTTTTTAAAAAAAGAGCCATCCTTGAACTTTGCATTACGCAGCAAACGTGTGATTTTACTTAAATAAATTGCCATGAAATATGGAGTTTTTTGCCTTGAAAATGACAGTAATTACTAAGCCCATAAGGTTATTTTCAAGGCAGAGATCCATATAGTTTTTACTGATGCAATAGCGTCCAACTTCCTTCGAATTATAAATTTTTTTATAACTTTTCAAAATTCGCTTTTACGCCTTTCAGTCTTGATTTAAGAAATAGATTAATTTAATAGAAGAGATATATGTACAGGCCAATTCTATTTTTGCATTTATATTTGACAAAAAAGCAACGACAACAGTAGCAATATAAGGGAGTCTTTGACTTTATTCTTAGTCGATTTTAACATATAGAAAAATGCTATTTGACAATTGTAGATAATACAAGAAAAGTTGATTTATTATTATAGAACTTTCAATACTAGAAACTCGCGTTTTACATGTCAGATATATAATTTAACATCAAAGAATGCTTACATTAAGTTTATTTTAATAATATATATACATATTTATAACATGTAAACTTTAGGGTTTTAATGCTCAATTATTGTATCAAAAGAAATTTTTGAACCTTTGACAAAATTTTTTATAAATATGTTATGTTATAATGTTTAACGTTAACGAATACTGAAATGTGTACTAGGTTGTGCTCCGGATGATCATGTGATAGTCTCGATGACCCTTAGTTGCTTTCTTTTAATACGTATCGAAATGATCTATGTTATAAAGTCGACTTTCCTTTGCACTGCACTTTAGTTACTATTATTTAGCATTTATTTGCGCATAGCATTTAAAAGAAGAAAATAAAAAAGAACTATACTATATTTATTTGATATACTGATTCTACTTCAAATCTTTAACATTAAATCAAACTTGTCTAATAATTACGCAACAAAACATGTATTTATATGATAAAAAACAAGCTGTATACTAGGAGATTTATTTATCCGCTAAAAGTTCTTTAAATAACTTATTTTGTATTTTCGTAAGGAAAATTTTTCTTAGTTCTTTAAATCATCTTTAACGGTACTTTTATTATCACAAATAAATTATACCCAACTACAGTATACCTTCGTTAATATCAACCTAAGCCATATGATGAATTTTTACAAATTTTATATATTAAAATTCACTTATATATATCAACTTTAATTAATCCCTTGTTAATATCACTATCAACATGTATTTAAATCAATTCAAATGGGTTGATATAAACTGTATTTCTATACCGAACTGACGTACTGAAAAAAAAACAAATTCATAATAGAGGTTCGTTATACCGAATAGAGTCGGTTGTATAAAAAAAAAAAAAAAAGGTTATTGAATAAATTATTAAGTTTCTAGTTTTTTAAAAAAAAATTTCATTAAATAAAATACACAAATCTATAAAATAAAAATTTTTACGTATTAAAAAAAAAAATTTCTTTATTAACGTATTCGCCTAAAGAATTTATTTGGACTTATAGTGATTTGTATAGTAATTTGCTGTCATAAGTCTATTAAATATTCATTGAATTGCGGAGTTGCCATCCGAACTGACATCCGGAGCAATCTGCTTTTTTGTCGGCAATTATTATTTTAATGAAACTTCCGACTGATGAAAACTCATGTCGGAAATTAAACGGAAATCTCCGGCATTTTACAATAACTTTTGTGGACACCGAAATTTTTTTTTTAAAAAAGTCGACACTTGGGTTATACAAAAAAATTCTTCCTAACGCTAATTATGCCATATATGAATTTGATTTACATAATATATAATTCTAGTGATCCACTAAAATAATTCATTACACTGTATAACCAACCAATTATATATATATATTATAAGTGGGTATGAAAGATTCGAATCCGCTTAACGTTAACGTTATTGATGTAGTGATAGCATTTCATATTATATCAGATCTCCATTTATGTAAATTTGTTGATTCTCTTTTAAAATGAAAATTTCATCTTGTGCTTCGCCAACCTTCTATTTTTTTAAATTTGTGAATTGTAAAATATAACAAATATGTAACACATTATATGTAAGTACTGTAAATCATGTAGTATAGACATTACTACAATAATTCGAATGTATCGTATATGGTTAACAAAGCTTATAATAACTTCTAAAACTGAATGATTAAAGTTAGTGAAATCTTTATAAACTGCATAATAAATATTTATTTTATATCTAAACAGTATTACGTATACGTATATATTTAATTAAAAATTTGATGAGTTAACGTTAATTATTCTGGACTGTAAATAAAATTTAAAAACCACAATTCGCGAATATTATAGATCAAAAACTATAAGGAATTATAATTTTTAAAGATAAAAAGAATATGATTCGAATGAAAATAACAAGTTATTTTTGAAATAAGGTGTTTTTTGTTCTATTAAAATTTGTAATTTTATTAATTGTAATTGTACTTAATAATAAAGTTTTTGACGCAATTTACTGATTAATGCGTCACCAACCTGGCACACATTCAATGAGTGCTTTTACTACGACATGTCAACGACGAAAGTTTGCGAGACTACATAAAAGTCGGACTCTTATTACAGGATAATAAGTACTAAGTAACGTAATACAGAATTTTAACCGGATATCCAGATATTATAAATACTTTACGGATAGTAACCTTTATCCGTCAGTCTCTAAATAACAGATATCCGCAAGGTTAACCAGGTTTAACCGTACAATACATTCGAATATCACACGGATAGTAACGGCTATTATAAGAGAATATTCGTAATTTAAGATCAGTGATTAATATTATATTATAAAACTACATGTGAATACCTCTAGTTGAATTTAAAAATATATAATACTTTCAAAGCATCCGCTGGCAAATAATTTTAGAAGGCTTATCGTTTCAAAAAATACCACTTGGGTGTTAACATTTCTTCTATAAGTCGGGTTCTCAAGCACTTTCAAAAATATGGATGTATTAAAAAACATCCTTCATTTTTAGGAAAACCACGTTTACTCAACATGATCGATATAAAATATGTCGTCAAATTCTTGATTATATCAATCTTAGCACCTATTCGTGTTATAAAAATTTATTTTTTATCCGGAATCTTTTTTTGTGTTTCTTGACAAGATTTATTGGCTGACAATTTTCTATAAACCTTCGCACAACCTAAACGCCGGTAAGTATTCAACCAAATGTTTAATAATGTTGAATGTGTCGATATTATAAAAAGTTGGCTGATTTCTTCACAGTAGCTGCTGTGTTATGACATAGACTTCGGCCCAATAATAATAATAATAATACGTAATAAAGTTACAGCAACACCGCATAATAAATTATTTGTAGGGTTTATCCGCAGAGTAAATTTTACAGTTATCCGGCAAACTCATATGATCATGAAAAAATTTCTTTTGTTATTTTTTTCATGTGTTACGATGCAATTATGTTTATTCAAATTAAAACTCGAGCG